CTTGGGTAGTCACAGCTGAGAGGAGGAGTGAGGCCCTGCCTGAGAACTCTGCCGTTCATTTTTTTGAATGGAAAAATACTGTGGCTGCTGACTTCAGTCACAAAGCTTACTTTTCTTGTCATACCAGATCAAGAAGGGACAAATGAGGACTTAGAAAATGGGCAGAAATTGCAGTATTGGGAACAGATGGTTTAGCAGTAGACTGCCACTAATTTACTGCTTGGTCTGGGCAGATAAATAGAAAATAGAGGTGTTGTGGCAGAAAGATAAATGTGGAAACTGCAGTCAGGGTATTTGGAATTGGAAGGCAAAGGGTGAAGTGAACAGGTCATTAGGAAGCCCATGCTGGTGCGTGACAGAACTACTAGAAGTGTTACTGTGCTCTATCCTGCACTGAGCAAATGAATGGAAGAGCTTAGCTTTCTACAAAACAAAGTGCAATATACCTCCTTTGATGTATTTTACCTTTCAAAATGATGCTCTTTCAAAATTGCAGGTACACAAGAAGGATTCTGGTTTCTGGCGGGATTTTGGCTTTGGGATGACTTGTCAGTATCGAACAGACTTTCTGACTGTTGGTAAGATGAAACTAAAGAAAAAAAATCTTGATTAAAAATCAATTCTCTGGTCTTATCTAATGACAGGAAAGTAATGCTTTGATTTCTTGCATTATTTTCCAAAGTCCAGCAATCAGACTTGCTTGACAAGTTTGACCAGTGAGATAAATTAGTTTTTCTAGATTTTGATGTCCAATCTGAGTGTTTGTTGAAAGTCACACTATTTCTCGTAGAAACATTTCATTCTAGAACTTCTAAAAATATTGCTTCTTTTTTTGTACTTTGGTTTTGTCTGAAGCAAATTAATCAAGTTTAAGAAACATGTTCCTCAAGTAAACCACTAAGATAGACATGAAGCATTAAAATTTTTTCTTTTAAATAATCTTGAGTAGTTGAGTGCAGTTGTTTGAGGCTTTAGCAATGTGCTTTGGCTCCCCCCTTGTGGCATGCTTTTAAAACTGAGAACAGCTTGGTGTGCTTAAATTTGGAAGAGATTGTCTTGAAGATAGTCTGTCAGAAGATGTAGTGATATAGCCCTAAGTGCTGTAGAATGACTTGAATGCAGCCTGGTTTCTAATTGTAGTCATATTGCCATCTGTATGGTATATGTTAAATGAAGACTTCATAATTCTGGAGTTTTGAAATTGTACATGAGCCTGGGTCAATCCTCACTGTGGTCATGTTAAAACAAGAGAACTTAAAATGGTGAAGCATGTTCCTTTCCTTAATCCAGCTTCTGAGTTGTGACCTATGGAGTAATTGCTGCCATTTTTAGAGAGGACTTCTCATATGGTGCGTGACTGCTTCATTTTCCAGCTGCTAAAACCCATTATGCTTGCTAAAAATAAACCAAAAGCATAGCCAGTGAGGTTTGCCTACAGTTTTCTGCAGCTGTCACATGGGATGTCATACATAATGTGATTTGGAGACACCGTTTTAAGAGACTTTCTGAAGTCAGCAGATCTGTGTCCTGGGGAGTTTCCACCACAAAGGATGTGGTGTTCTAGAAGATCCTCTCCCTTAAATTGTCATGCTTTTGCATGGAAAACTTAGTTAATTGCTCCAGAATTTCTGGTATGTCATGCTAGATCTGGTAATGATACACGGAGTGTTGCTGGTTTTGCCTTACATGTAGCCTGTGCGCCCAAATAACATTTTCTGATACTGTTTTTATAGGAGGTTTTGACTTGGAAGTGAAAGGCTGGGGCGGTGAGGATGTTCACCTTTACAGAAAGTACTTACACGGTGACCTCATTGTGATCAGGACTCCAGTCCCTGGTCTCTTTCACCTGTGGCATGAGAAACATTGTGCAGACGAACTCACTCCGGAGCAGTACCGCATGTGTATCCAGTCCAAAGCCATGAACGAGGCCTCCCACTCGCACCTGGGGATGCTGGTTTTCCGGGAGGAGATCGAGGCTCACCTCCGTAAGCAGGCTTACAGGACTAACAGCGAAGCAGTGGGTTAAATGTCATTCCTCTGACCTTGAATGACTTCAAATTCACAGTGAACCAGCATCATTTTACAGCCTTAATTCAGCTTACAAATGCAGTGCCTCTCTTTTTCAGTGAAGAAGAGTTTAGAGGGTTTTTGGTTCTTGTATTTGTTTTCCAAGTAATTCTTTGACTGATACACTATTACCTACATATCTTGCAAGTTCAAGCACCTCAGATACGTTGGAAAGCATATGCCTTTCAAGGAAAGTATCTTCAGGATCGATTAGAGAAATCCATGGAATGTACAGTTTGACATTTTTCCACATGGTACATTTCACTTCTTATATTTGCATTATTTTAAGAATTAAATGAAATAACCTTTTGCATTGTCTTGAGTATTTTCAGTCTGTATGGCTCACTGCACTGTGACTTTAGAAGGATACTGTACTTATACTCCATTGTAGAAACAAAAGAAAGGTGTGGAAAACCAATCTCACCACGAAAGGTACACGGACATGCTGAGTGGTACACCAACTGTTCAGGGTGCTCATTTCACAGCAAGGCCTTGCTGCTGTGTTTGCTCTATTAACAGACATTGACATGGTTGGATATAGAATAGATTGGGGTGGGTGGTGAATGAAAATCCTTTCAAGTGAAATTTTAGAGCATGTGAGCTAACTTCACACTGCGAAGGAGATACCACCTTCTTACCTCACTGAGGGATTAGACAAGTTGGGAATGTTCCAGTTGGGCATTTCTGGGTCTGGTCTTTTCCCACAGTAGATGCCACGTCACCGAGTCCCTTCTATAAATTGAGCTATGCTATTAAACTTGTTTGTTTAAATATTTTTGGCCCCACTCCTCCTTACTGAAAGGCCCTGCCTATGTATCTCATCATTTACGCTGAGGAACCGTTTTTTCATTCCCATAGCAATTTATTAGAGGCTTATTTGCTATTTTGCCCATATTGTCCTTTTGCATTCTCTCTCTTTGGGGGATTTTCCTGACATGTTTTCAGAAGGCAGTCAGATACTCTTAGTTGTTTCAGTGACTGAAAAAGCAAGTGCTATTACAGTCTTTATACCATGCTCTCCATTCCACTGATTATCCTAGTAGCCTTATGCTTCACTTTTTCAGTTTGAGGATGATTTAGGGTGTTTGGGTTTTTCTCTCTCTCTTTTTTGTTTGTTTGTTTTGTTTTGTTTGTGTCGATTGGGTTTTTTGAGCATGCATAAGTGGAGTGTCGGTTGGGTTTTTTGAGCATGCATAAGTGGAATTATGTTGTGGTCTCATTAGTGCCTTGTACAATGGCACTAGTACTTTGCTACTTCCCTTTTGGGTATTTTGGGATGCATAAACATTTTAAATGCAGGCAGGTCATTTTTCTCCATGTTGTCTTATATGAAACCATACAGCATGCCTCATTTTTAATACATTTGTTTATAGAATGAATGCTGAGAATGCTAATTCAGTGGTTAAACCATTTGCATGGTCTCCGCTGAATTTAGAAATTAGTTGAAAACCCTTCTCAAACCAGGTAATTAAGATCTCTGTCAATTTAGTTTGCTTCAAGAATTCTGAAGGCAACTAAAGATTTAAATGGTTGATTTCTGAATAGCAGATATGCTGTGCGAATAGTTCTGGGCACTGATCCTTTTTTTATGTACATAAAATTTGCCTTTATGTAACTTATTGTGGAGAACAGTGTACTGTATTGTACTTAGAGTGAACAGAATACATTGCAATACTTCTTGCAATTGATATTCTCAATATAATAAATGGAATTTCTGCATTTTAGAAATTGTTTTAAGCTGTTTCTTTGAAATAAGCTTTTACAATAGTACTTTCTAAGGCAGGTAACACACCAGATTCAAGCAATAATATTTGTGGTGAGAAGTTCAACCAGCTCATTTTTGCATCTCAAGTATCTACCCAGACCAGATATGAAAGTGCAGTTAGTTCCTCAGACAACTTAAACTTGTACCAGGTGTTATCTTACTTTGATATCTTGATGATTACTAACAAAAATTAGAAGGTACTGGTGAGGAAAAGATGAAATACGTTGGTATTATGACTTGGGATAAAGATATAAGTGGAATGTTCTCTTGAGACTTAAACCTTTAAAATTTCAGCTGCTACTGGTGTCCAGGCTCTGCTGCACAAGAATAAGCATCAAAAAAAATGCCTCTCTGACACCACCACTGCTTCACATACACTGGATGGGTACTGAGGTGGTGCACCGTGTTCAGCATTGCTGCTGCTCTGCTCTTGGCACTCAGACACCACCTCAGAAGGAACAGATTGTCACAGTTCTCATATTCTGGAAACACAGCAGACTGCTGATGCAGATAGTCAGATCTCTTACTTTCTGCTGTTTTCCACTGGCTACCTGTGCTTGTCAGCAGCAGTGAGAGAGAACAGTGTCAACTCTCTGCATTTGTGTCGTCAAAAACAGTCTGCAGTGTCGATGCTGGAAGGCTACTGAGGAAGTCTGGAGCTGAATGTAGTCAACAGGAAGCAGCATTGAAAACTTTTTTCCATTCATTCCAAAAGGTCGAAGCAAATGCATTTGAGTTAAAAGGAAGTCAGAACTCTTGGAAATAATGTGTGAGTTGGGTATTGACACAAGTATTCTGAATGACTCGTTATTTGATGACTCCTGAATTTCCAGGAACCCTGGCAGGCCTGGGCTTTGCCTTGTCTTAGTTCAGCTCCCTGTAATATCCACCTGCATGAGATGATGTTGCTGTGCCACACACCAGCTCAGCAGCTTGTTAGGAGCGCAGGCAGTCATCACCTACTGCAGTTGTTTCCAAAGCCAGAGGTAGTGCTATGGGCTGTATGCTGTGCTAAGTCAATGTGTGGGACTTGCAGCCCAGTGGTAGTAACAAGAACTACTACTAATTTTAAGTTTGGATGCATTTTGCTTTTGTGTGGTACTGAATTTGGTACTTGTGCGTCCCTGCATGCACCTGCAGGGATTTTGGTTTTCACTGCTAACAATATGTAGAACATTTACTGCAGGAAAACACTCGGCTTTAATAGTGCTTTGCAGGTTCTGGGGTAGCTTATTAGCAACTCTGACATTGGAAATTAAATCAGTTACTTAAAATTCATTATTTAATATTTGCACTTCCAGAGAATTATTGCTAATCATGTAGAGTTCATGTTCCCTAATGACTTACCATTTTACCAACACCTATGTCTCAAAAATGTATTAGATTTAACTATTATAAATAACTACCTTAAATTTACAGCTTTTAATTAAATCTTAAAATTAGGGTGATTTTTTAAAAAAATTGATGGTTCTCAAGTGTTTTGACTTCTGCTTTTGGGCTTAGCTATGGGCTTTGACTACTTAGTTTAAAAAAAAGATACTGAAAATTCATAGAATCATGGAGTTTAAGGGTTG